CTAGGAAACTGTATTCAGAGCTGTGCCAGGGCATCGTGGACGTGGCCATTTCCAGCGTCTTCACCCTGAACAGCGGAGACTCTTCATCTGCTTCCTCTTCACCATATTCCTCCTCTCCATCCTCCATGTTCACCACCAACTCCTGCTCCTCTCCCAAAATCAGAGGGCCTCTTCACATGGGCCCTTTCACTCGACTGTAAGCACACTCAACAGTCCCCTCGTCTCCTCTGTACGGCTTCCTCATGCTCTGTCCTCACTTGTAACTCCACCTGAGAAGTAGCTTCCTGATTGTTCCTCTCCTAGCTGAGCTGCAGAATGATCTCCCCTCTCCTCATTATGCATATGTGAGGTCGGTGATAAGTCGACAAACTTTGTGGGAGTTTCCGAATGAGGACAGACACCCTTCCATCTCAGTCCCACTTCTGGTTTCTCCACAAGCAGATGAATGGAGGACTGAAGGATGCTGAGACTGTAGTGCCTTACATTTCCAGCCACGCTCCCTTAAAAAGAACTGCCAGTTAGCTTGCTCTGTTACTGTGACTCGTACTTATTCTATAAGCCTTTGCACTGTTGCTCAACGCTCCCATGATCAGTCCACAATAATTAGTGTGAAACAAATTCATTGGCATTGAATTTGTGAAACTTTTAATGTTAGTTTTCTCCAGTTTTTGCAGTTTCTTTTTAGTTTAGAAATGTTAGGGTTGCTAACAGTGATCAAAACGTGTTAAGAATTTTAAAAGAGAAAAAGTAACCCAATGTGTCTGATGAGATAAGAATGAAGAAGTCTCAGCTGGGTCATAAACAGGGAGACCTTCCAGTTCTGGTAAACCCAAGTCCGTCCCTAAGTGTCCCTGACCTCTGACCTCTACAGCAGGGACAGAGAACCCCCTAAAGGGGTTCAGTAGTAGCCCTCATTTTTCTGTTCTTAACAATTTATTTTAAAATAGTCTATCTACAGACATTTTGGTGTTTTATTTTCCATTAGACGAGAGCATGTTTGTGTGAAAGCATGTCGAATGCATCCTCATACCAGCCCCACAAAGGGAAGCACCTTCTGCTCTGGTTCTGTAAACAGCTGCTCTAATGTCCCTTTGATTTCTGATATCTGCACAGCTAGACTGTCATTGTAAAATGTCGTCAACACGTGTGTGGATTGTTTTTGAACTGTTGTAATGGAAGTAGAGTAGATTGTACAAAGTGTGTTACAGACCCCATGAAATGAAGCTGAGAACATAGAACACTAATTCTAACACTGCTCTTGTACAGCTTACTGTGTCTGATGTGTTGCCAAAGACAAGTCAGTGGACAGCTAACAGCTATAAGGAAGTCACAGACACATCTTCATCCTATCACTGCCTCTTCTTCAGTTACAGCTGGTGTTGGATCATGTCTTAGGTTTTTTACACTTGTTTTATTACTATCGTGGTGTTTCATGGCTGATTTTATTGTTTTTTTTTCATGGGGTTCTTGACATATTTCAGATTTTCTTTGTAGAGAATTAACAGTTGTAACCGTCTGAGGGGACAAATCTATTTTATGTTTCTTAGAAGGGAATATTTCCTCAGACATTACACTTTTAATTAACTGAAGATGTGTGACAGTTGCATGTTGGGTAGACCATTCAATTGGCTCCTTTCACAGAATAGGTCATCATGAGTGTGTGCCTCTCATTGTTAGAATCCCTGCTGTTCCTCTATTCTAACCTTGATTCAAGAGGCTTTGCATCCCATGTTGTGAGTAACTTCAGTTAAGGGACACCATTGGAGCATTTATTTATGTTTTAATTGACAGTGTGTTTGTGTTTACAAGTTGAAGGTGGGAAACATTTACAGAGCAGGTTACACTGACAAGAAATGAGTCATGTAGAGATATGATGAATGCATTCATGTATTGCAATGCTCTGATGTAGCTAATCATTTGGAAAACTATCAATGTTTTTGTCAAAAATTTGTTTTTAAGAATGTTTGCTGATTTAAAAAAAAAATGAACGTAAGCAATCAGTATTTGCTTATTGTTCAATTTTTAGGGAAAAGTATTTCCATTGAAGGGACGGGTGCCTTAGGGGGAATTGCATATTGGTGAAAAGAAGCAATTAGACCTCCAGCATTTTGAAGCACCTTCATTGTTGTTGTATCTAAGTGGTTTTGCCTAATTTAGAAGACCTCTTGAGTTCGATGATGTCATTTTCTCAGTTGATCATGTTTTGTCATTATTCCTGGATTTCCACATCTTTACCAAAGATTTAATCCCTGCTGTGTTTCAGTGTTGAATCATGTTTGGTAGTTGCTGTTATCTGGACATTATTAAATCAATTGGCCAACATGATCCTAAAGAAGGGTCACATTCAGAGGGATATCTGTGTGCTGTGTTTTTGTTCCGTATGCTTTATCAAACAATTGCATGAACATTTGTCTTTATCAGAAATGATATTAGAATAAAAAAATCGGACTATTAAAAAAGCTTGTGTCGTATATATTCCTGATTGACATGATTCATTTACACATAACTTTAATATCTAATAAGAATTACCAATATGGGGCTCACTGATGACGTCACGTTATTAAAATCCCAAAGTATCTGTGCCAGAGCCCTCAGCCGCGCTAATGAGCAACTCCCCTATGAATGAATGAGGCCCCGCCTCCCACGCTGTATACAGTTCTCGCGTCACCTCCTCAGCCTCATCCCAATACCCCTCCTCGACTCCTCCGGAGGTGACGCGAGGACAGAGGAGTCCTCAGGTATTAATTGGGATGTCCTCGTTCACTCAAACGTCACTCTTAAACGACGTCTGTTAATGATGACATCATGTAGGGGTTTCACAACTACCAATATTTACTAGTCGACACGTTTTTCAAAATAGCAGTCGACTAGTCGACTAGTCGTTACGTCATAATAAAGACACACAAAGAGAGGTGTACAACTGTATTTTATATTAGAACTCATACAGTAACATTAAACACTGCATTTTAATTTGTGTTACATGGCTGAGTAAATAACAAACAGTAACTGGACTCACCAAAATCGACAGCAAAAAACTCTTGTTTACATAAATGCCACGTAAATCCAGTGCGCAACAGCGCATTGCGCTGTCCTCCACGATAACGTCCACCTTTCCATATTTTTGGTTTGGTTTGAACACCAACGCATCGACATGTGAGGGAAGGAGGCTTGACCGCTTTCGGGTGACAGTGTTGCCTGCCAGGGAAAAAACCCTCTCATTCGGGGTGTTTGTGGCTGGAATAGCCAGGTAGCTCCTCGAAAGCGGGGGAAGCGGTGCACGTTTTCTGCCCACCACTCCAGTGGATTATCCATTGTGGGGATATGCGGTCTCCGCTGGCAGTAATCCCGTAGCTCATCATCCGCATCACTGTTGACCCGTGTTTTCTTGCTGTTCGTTTGCCTCTGTTCAGTGCTGACGCCGGTCCGTTGCTCACTGGTGCTAGCATTACTGCTAGTGCTAGCTGTCGGCAGCGGGTGTCTCATCTTCAGATGGTTGCGCATAGCAGATGCATTTGTATTGTACTTCAGTACAGCTGTACACAACTGACACTTCAC